TAACTCTTGTTTGTTGTAGCCTCCACAAGATTATTCGTTGATTTTGGGTTGGTTTCCCACCTACACAATATAAACCGAGGAAAGCACTGAGAGACATGTTAGGTGAGAAAGATAGCCACGCACTCACTCATGAAGAAAACAGCCTAGGAGTTTTTTGTTTTTTAATTTTCGGCCATTATTTTGTGGAATACATTATCCTGTTCTACTCTTATTTATTTTGTCCTTTCCTAACTTTGAATAGCTACTACACTTTCTTTCTTTAATTTCTCGGTGGCTCGATGAGCAGATTGAGGGTTTAACACGATAAAAGTATTGGTTCGATACTTCCAATAGGCACAGCGCACATAGCACATTGTGCAGCTTTGCGCTTGTAAGAAACAAACAAAATGGAATTAAATGTAATGCAAGAAACATACACGATTTTTAAACAATGTAAACTGAATCCTAACTAACATTTCTTACTACTGTTATTATTATGAAATACAATGCGAGATAATCAATTAATGGCTTTAAAAATGGAAGCTCTCTGTAAATTGTAACATTTGGAATAATCTCAAAATTACATTCAAAAATTCTCAGGTGCAACATTTGAATTCTATTGACATAAAGGGGGTCAGTTGTCGATCAATTATCTCACTTTAAATTCAAAGCTATGTCTAATACCAAAATGTACAAATTAATGTTAACAAGTGCAAAATGCTTATTCTAAATATTATCTGTTAACTGTATGGAATTATTTGGTATTTTACAGTCCTGCAATAACTGAAAAACATTGAAAAGTAAAAGTCAGCAAACCGGCGCACGAATGTTTCTTCGTACTTCATTTAACTTTATCTTGCACTTCAAGTCATTGTCTCTGACGTTTGTAGGCTTAAAGTATAGGTAATCACAGTTATGGAGTTAAAACTTTAAACACATAGCTTCCTGATAGACACACGCGTTCTTATTTGATATCGTATACAATATAATAACTAGTAATAAAAACGTTTACAATAATTACCTTTTTAACAGCATACTGACAAACTTTCATCGTTTCGCTGCCTTCTACAAACGAGAATCGGATGGAAGACTGAAGTAAAAAGACGTAATCTCTCTTTAACTGGTTGAGCTGTTCCTCTAGCTCGTGCTCACGGCTAAAACATAAATACTAGATTATGCAATAAAAATAATAGTGTCAAAAATTTAAGACTCCGAAGATTAACACATATTACTTACTCTCAATATACATCTTATTTTTTGTTTCTTTTATACGATGCATTTAAAAATTAATAATATCTTGTTAATACATTATTCGAACTTTAGATCCGAAAAGTTTTTAAGCACCCTGGTGACTAAGCTTAAAACTTCAGGTCTTATAACGCTAAAATTGAGGATTCGATCCTGCGGCTGGAATAGATAGTTCATTATACTGTTTTGTGCTTAACAACAAATAAACAGAATGGTGACATTAATCAAAGGATTTCATAAAGAGAGGTACAACTGACTAAAAAGAACATAAGCAACAGCGTAACGAACAGGCATATATCATAATATATATATATATATATATATATATATATATATATATA